AGGCAAGGATGGAGCCAGAGAGCAAAGCTTGCCAGTGAATACAAATGGGAACAGGCTTTAAAAATAAAGCCGGGTTCAGCTTCCAATACTCCAAATGCCAATCAAAAGATTCATTTATTTTTTAAATATGTGGGTGAGTTGAGCATTATGTCGGAAAGATGACTATCCAAGAATCAGCACGAAATCATCCTGTACAGGCTGAATTTGTGTTTGTCTGCCCCAGCTTTGGTTGACTTTTTTGCTTTTAGTTTCAGTTTGGTTTGTTTTTTGAGAAGAAAGTAAAGAGGGGGCATTACAATTTGAAGTTGTTTTGTTGTTGTTGTTTTCTTGGTACTAGGGATTAAACCCAAGGGCACTTAACCACTGAGCCACATCCCCAGCCCTTTTTCTATTTTATTTAGAGACAGGGTCTTGCTGAGTTGCTTAGCACCTCACTTTTGCTGAGGCTGGCTTTGAACTCGCGATCCTCCTGCCTCAGCCTCCCAAGCCGCTGGGATTTCAGGCCTGCACCACTGTGCCTGGCTGAAATTTTTTTAAATGAGCATGTATTTGTGACATATTACTCAAAATAAAAATAGTGGTGAGAGGAAAAGAATTGCTCAGACCTGGCCCCCAATATATCTGTCCTAGGCAGGTCTAGGGAACAGCGATAGAATCTTGGTAACTAAGGAGAAGAGTGAGGTACATTTTTTTTTTTTTTTTTTTTTTTTTTTTTTTATCTTTGTGTGTGATCTTTATTTCAAATATTTGTTATAACACCATCATTATTCCTTGCAACAAGAGCAAAGATCACCCCCTGCAGAAACTTAGGAACTATGTACAGAATTTTACAGAACAGAGGCAACACTTTGGCAGAGGCTGAATGTTGACCATAGAGTGGAATTCACCAAGGCAAGAGGAAGGTGAAGGTGCCCTCTGAATCCAACTTCAGCTACCATCAGGGCAAACTTGTACCAGTCACAGATTGTACGCTGTTTTTGGAAGGTTTGGGTGCAGCACAGGAATTCCATTTATCTACTTGGCTAAACCCCTGGCTGAGGTGCCATTAGGTCAATGTCACTCAAGTTCCTGGCCAGCCAAACTCCCGCAGCAAAGAGTCCCAAGTTCAGGATCAAGTTCCTCCGGAAATCATTCCTATCGGTGGCAAAGCGGTAGACTCCCCGAAGCCAGTCTCCTACGTTGTCCGGAATTTCAGGGGCTTCATTTGCCGACCCGGCAGCGCTCACCGTAACGCCGCTGGAAGCCATTAATACTTTCGATGACGGCACTGCACTTGGAAGACAAACCCGAGTGAGGTACATTCTGAGTCTGAAATTTTTCCCTAAGTGCAACAATAATTGATTAGTTCTTAAGAACTATTATTTCAACATTTTGAGAAAGGAGCAGAACCTAGTAGGGCTTTCTGAAGACAACCCCCTGTGATGCACACCTGTAATCCCGGCAGCTCTGGAGGCTGAGGCAGGAGGATCGTGAGTTCAAAGCCAGTCTCAGCAAAGCGAGTTCAAAATCAGAGTCAGCAAAAGTGAGGTGCTAAACAACTCAGTGAGACCCTGTCTCTAAATGAAATACAAAATAGGGCTGGGGATGGGGCTCAGTGATCGAGTGCCCCCCCAAAAAATTAAAAGTTGAGATGCATTGGCTTGGTACCTCCTAATTCCTCTTAGTAAGGTTCTGGTGATGCATTTAGTAGCCGGTGGCTGAATTTCCTCCTAAGACCCTGTAGTTAAGGGGCAGTCTCTGACGGGGACAGAACACAAACCTTCCCCTGCTCTGCCTTCTAAAAGCTTCTCACAGAGAAAACAGGTCAAACCATGAATGAAGTAGAGGCTTTGGAATTTACTCAGGTTGCCTTTGTGCTGTGTTACACTCTCTCTCTTAGTAAATGTGCTATGTGCATTTTTTTTTTTAAAAAGTGCAATTTGTTGAGGGCTGGGGATGTGGCTCAAGCGGTAGCGCGCTCACCTGGCATGCGTGCAACCCGGGTTCGATCCTCAGCACCACATACCAACAAAGATGTTGTGTCCACCGAAAACTAAAAAAAAAAATATTAAAAAAAAAAAGTGCAATTTGTTGAGTTCAGATTCTACTCATATCCATTAGTTAAAGCTTATTAATTCCTTGGTCCAAAATTGTAACCACTTGCTTTATGTATTTATTTATTCATTGTCTTCTTTATTCATTAGTTTTCAGAGACAGAAATCACAGCATCTCTTGCTACACTTCTTGGTTTCTCTATTTTATTCTCTTATTTATCTGCCCAGTGTTGCTTTAAATACTTGAGGCTACATTGATAATTGTGTATAATGTAAATTCTAATGAAGATAAGTATTTCTGTCTGTTTAGGTTTCTGCTGTCTTCTTCAAGCCAAGAACAATGCCTAGAATGTTGCAAGCATTTGCCATATTTTGCTACATGAATAAATGTGTATTCATAATTATATATTCTAGAACTATTATTTCTTTTCCCAGTAGGTACCATCCTCCTTTGTCCTGTACGGTGCTGTTGCCTTGAATTCTATTGTCTGATATTAGAGTTGCTACTGTAGCTTTGATTTATTTTTCCTGATACATCTTTTTTCCATTCATTTACATTTAGCTACAGTAGTCTCCCCTTATCCTCAGAGAATATGTTCTCAGTGGACCCCTGAAGGTGCAGACGGTACCTAACCCTATCTTTTCCTATATACGTGCCTAGTATAAAGTTGAATTGTGCCCTGAAACCAGAGGCACTTTACCACTGAGTCCCTTTTATTTTTTATTTTCAGGCAAGATTTCACTAAGTTGCCCAAGCTGGCCTCCAACTTGTGATTCTCTGGCCTCAGCCTCCCAAGTCACTAGGAGTGCACCATTGAGCACTATTTATAAAGTTTAATTTATAAATTAGGCACACATGCTGGATATGGTGGCACATACTTATAATCCCAGTGACTTGGGGGGGGCTGAGGCAGGAGGATTGCAAGTTGCCTCAGCAACTAAGGGTGCTGGGAGCCATTAGCCAAGTAGGTATGACAATTTCCTTGCCAGCGTACCCCATGTTGCTTAGTGGAAGGACTCGTGGAAATAGGACATTTTGCAGTGACATTGCAGTTAGGTGACCTTGCTCAAGGACCAGGGCGGATCCGGGATTAGGGTGTTCCCGGTTTAGGTTCCAGGTTTAAAGTTTAAGATTATTCCTGCTGGGAATAGGGCGTATCCTGCTGCCTGAGTTCCCCTTGAGTTCTCACGGGATTCAGACAGTATTTTTTGGGAGAGAGAAGCCCAGTGGGGGTGGATTTGGGCAGAGAACGTGGATTTCCCCAGAACGTGATTGTAGACGGCTGGTGTGAGTTTGGGAATAAAGAGTTGCTGTTTGAATCTACAAGCTGTGTGGTGGCTCGTGATTGTGTGCCCAGCCAGACTGCGGCATTTGTGCCCAGCCAGACTGTGGCATAAGGGCAACCTTATCTCAAAATTTTTTTAAAAAAAGAAAAGACCTGGGGATGTAGCTCAGTGATAGAGCACTTGCCTAGCATAGGTGAGGCCCTGGATTCAATCCCCAGCACCACATGCGTATACACACAGAAAGAGACAATGTAACTTCTACCTTGTTTAAATCAGTTATGCTGAACCCCTTAACCACCATTTAAATACTCTAACCACCTGAGGCTGCTGTGCTCTAAACCCAAATAGCCCACACAGAAAGACCATGTGCTCATTGAGAGGCCTTGACACTGTGTCAAGACAGAAAGATGCCTGACAAACCCTAGCTGCCCCCATCCCATGCTGTTCTATCTCCAGCCACAATCCAAGTGTTAACTACAGGAGAGATTCCAAGACAAAACCACTCAGTTTAAAAAAAAATCTTCCCAGTCAGGTGCAGTGGTGCTTGCCTGTAATCTCAGTAGCTCGGGAGGCTGAGGCAGGAGGATTTCGAGTTCAAAGCCAGCCTTAGGAACTTAGTGAGGCCCTAAGCAACTCAGCAAGACCCTGTCTCTAAATAAAGAGAAAAATAGAAATTTTTCTATTAGAAGACAGCAGAAACCAAAATAGACAGAAATAGTTATCCTCAAAAATACAAAGGGCTGGGGATGTGGCTCAGTGGTTAAGTGCCCCTGGGTTCAATCCCCAGTACCAAAAATTAAAAAAAAAAAAAAAAAGCTTCCCAATATTTGACCTGTAGAAATCGGTGTCTTTGAGCACTTTAATTTCAATCGCCTTCCTTCATATTTCATGTTTTTATACTATTTTGTACTTCAAATTAGATAGCATTGTTGTTATTTTAAAAATCTGTGCTCACAAATTGATCTATTTAACATAGCTTACTACATCATACACACTTCCTGGGACTATTTACATTTTTTTTGTTGTTTGTTTTTTTGGAGTACATCCTTTACGAATCTTTTCAGAAATGAACTTTTAGAGGTAGATGGTTTTTGTCTATCTGAAAATGACTTTATTTCAACTTCATTCTTAGGTGCTAATTAGCTAAACATGCTAATCTTTCTTAGTTAATCATTTAGCAAGGTATAGAATTTTAGGTAGAGTGCTTTCACTCAGCATTTTGAAGACATCATTCCATGGCCTTCTGTCCTTTGTTGTTGCTGGTGACATTTGCTGCTAGTCTAAATGTTATTCCTCAGGAGGTAATTTTTTAAAGATGTTCTCTTTCCTTTTGGAATTTGCTATAAGTCAGTTAGATTTTACTTTTACTCATCTTGCTTAGGACTTTTTAATGTTTGTTTTTTTTTTTTGGGGGGGGGGGGTGCCTGGAATTGAACTCAGGGACATTCAGCCACTGAGCCACTCCCCAGACCCTATTGGTACAGGGTCTCCCTGAGTTGCTTAGCACCTCGCTTTTGCTGAGATTGGCTTTGAACTCCCAATTCTCCTGCCTCAGCCTCCCAGGCCTCTGGAATTCCAGGCGTGCACCACCACACCCATCCTGCTTAGGATTTCTGCATTCCAAAACAGTTCCATCAGTTCTGAAAATTCCTATGTATGATGTCATTGAATATTGCCTCTTCCACATTCTCTTTGTTCTTTCCCTTCCAGAAACTCTAGCATCTATGAGAATTTTCTATTCTATTCTATTCAACAAATCTTTTCACCCCTTCCCTTTTCTTATTTCTGTTTCTTTGTGCTGCATCCTTGATCATTCTGAGCAACTGAACCATCACTCCAGGTCAGTAATTCTTATTTAACTCATACATTGACATTTATATATATATATATATATATATATATATATATTATTTCTAGAAGTCCTATTTAGTTCTTTTTCCAAACATGCATCTTCTTCTTTGTGGTGTGTGTTTGTCACTGCCTATTGTCTATATGCATTTAGTTGTTTTAAACTTGCTGATTGTGGCTCAGTGGTAGAGCACTTGCCTTGCACATGTGAGGCCCTGGGTTCTATCCTCAGCACCACATAAAAGTAAATAAATAAAATAAAGGTATTATGTCCAACTACAACTAAAAAATAAATATTTTTTTAAATGCTGATTTTATGATTTATAATACATTGGTTTTTTTTATCTAAAGTTCTTGGGTATCTGATCCTGCTGTCTCTTGCCCATAGTTGATTGTTTCTTCAACTGTTTTATAGTTTGAATTGTGAACTCATCGTAAGCGTGACTTTATGTGTAGCAATTCTATGAGACCCTAAATGATGGGATGTCCTTCTATGAAGTTTTGTTTTGTTTCTCACAAGATCTTCAAGGGATTTGTTATCACTTTTATGACAATTTCTTAGCTTGTGGCTTCCTAGACCACACAAATAAAATATATTCAATCCCAAACCCTCGTAAGATATAGGTCAAAATTTTCTCAAGAGATACTTTTTTTTCATACAGAGCCTAGGAGAAGACAGATAATCCCCTCTGGGTCAATGAGAGAATTTTCTTCTCATCTACCCTCACATGGAAGCTTCCAACTTTCTAGAATATGTCTCAGGCGGTCATATCCTCATTCACAAGCTCACCGCCCTAGTTTTCAGTACCCTTTTCATTCACAGCCCCTGTCAATTTCCTGTGCGCTCATCTATTCATTCAAATAAGTATTTGTTTATTTCTAGATAACTGTGGAAATGGGTTTTCAGGTTATCTTGATCACAGTATTACCACAACTAGAAGCCAAAATTTATTTATATAAGCAAATATGAAATCCACCAGTTGCCGAGATCCCTGACTGTGATACTGATATTTTTTTCCTTAAGTATCTCTGAGAGATAAATATACTGGTTTACATTTTTTGCACGTATTTTTAAATATTATAAGGGCTAGTCACTGCCCTAAGTTTCAGCATATTTTGTGTTCAGACTCCTGACAGAATATTTGACCTGCTAGATAGAATTGCTTCTTCTTAATCAGATTAGGACTCGGCCATAGTGCCTCTTCTCTTGGGCTTTACCTAAAAATTCTGTGGCCTTTATAGGTTAGTACTACTATTAAGTCATTAATCAGAGAGATAGTGCTGACTATGAAGGGGGAGAAAGCACAGACTCTGGAATCAGGAAGACATGGCTATTACTTTACAGCTGAGTATCTTTGGGCAAGTAGTTCTATCTGAGCCTTAATGTTTCCATCTGTAAACTGGGGTGATAATACCTAGTTTGAAGGTATATTTATTAGTCAGGATTCTCCAGAAAGAAAGAACCAATAGGAGAGAGGAGAGAGAGAGAGAGAGAGAGAATAGATAATAACTAAAAAGGTAATTGATAGATAGGTGACAGATTAGATGATGATGATTATCATCAATAGATAGACAGATAGAGTGAGTAAATTATGGTTTATATATGAGTTGTCCCCAAAAGTTTAGAGGTGAAATAACTTGGTTCTCAGAGCCTTAACCTAATCACTGAATTAATTCCCTGATGGTGATTAACTGAGTGCTAACTGAGACTGGTAGGGTGGGCTTAGAGGAGGTGGGTCCCTGGAGGCATGACTCTGGGGTATATGTTTTGTACCTGGAGAGCAGAACTCTCTGTCTCTGCTTCCCGGTTCCATGTCTTGAGCTGCTTTTCTCCTCCACGCCCTTCTGCCGTGATGTTCTGCCTCATCTTGGGCCGAGAGTAATGGAGTCAGCCATCTATGAACTGAGACCTCTGAAACCGTGAGCCCCAAAGAAACTTTTCCCCCTCTTTTTGTTCTTATCAAATCTTTTGGTCACAACAGTGCAAAAGCTGACTAAACCAGATAGATGATAGATAGATAGATAGAGGATTTAGTAGGGGAATTGGCTCATTTAGTTACTGAGGCTGAGAAGTCCCACGCTAGGCCATCTGAATACTGGAGAACCAGGGAGGCTGGTAACATGGCTCAGTTCAAATTCAATGCTCTCAAAAATCAAGAAAGCGGATGGTATGACTCTCAATCCAAGGCCTCAGATCTGAGTGGGAGGTCCCTAGTGCAAATCTGAGAGTCCAAAAATGGGGGAACATGGAGTCCTGATTTCCAAGAGCAGGAAAAGACAGGGGTCCCAGTTCCAGGAGAGAAAGAGAATGAATTTGCCTTTCCTTTGCCATTTTGTTCTATCCAGCCCCTTGCTGATTGGACGGCACATGCGCACATCGAGGATGGATCTTCCCCACTGAGGCCACCGACTCATGGGCCAGTCTCCTTCTGGCCACCCTCACAGACATACCCAGAAACCATGTTGTATCAGCTTTGTAGGGAACCCCTTAATTCAGTCATGTTGACACCTAAAACTAACTTATCACAAAATGGTTGAGGTTAAAATTAGAGATGAGGTTTATAAAGCACCCAGCACAAAATAGCTTCTTGAGTTATTACTTAATCTACCTTTGAGGATTTTTCATTTAACCATAGTAGCATGGCCCCTTGGTATCTTCCACAATGGCTAAGGTGGTGTTCCTCCAATTTGAGTTCCTTTGTCTCTGTGGCCACCACCTATTTCATTTTCTTCACATTAACAAAAGTTCCCCTTTTTATATGTTTCTGGTCATTTAGGGAACAGTCGTGTTAACTTGAACTGCCTTATCTAAACTTTTGCACCCAATAAATGTGCCCTATTTCAGCTCTAAAGTGAATCATGGCTTTATCTACATCTTTGTAAACGGAATGATATAAGTAGGAAAGAGAAGGTCATTTGTAAATTTCTAATTGGAACATACATGATACAGAGGATGTCAGAGCTGAAAGGGACCTTAGAAGTCCCTAAGATGAGGAGTCTAAGGGCCAGCAAAAAATAATGATAATAATGCTGACCTGCCCAAGTTCACCACCACTCAATGACAAAGCCAAGATCAAAAGCCAGGCTTTCTGTAGGGCACAGTGGCACATGCCTGTAATCTCAGCAACTTGGGAGGCTAAAGCAAGAGAATAGCAAGTTGGAGGCCAGCCTCAACAATTTAGTGAGGCTTTAAGCAACTTAGTGAGACCCTGTCTCAAAATAAAAAACATTTTTAAAGGCCTGGGGATGTGGCTGAGCCCCTTTGGGTTCAATCCTAGTACCCACCCACCCCCCAAAAAGCTAGGCTTTCTGATACCAAGAGCAGGACTATAACTGGAATCATTTTCACTACTACACTACAGAAGTTGCAACGAACCTTCTGGTATAATCAATTTGTAATCTGGAAGCAAGCCAAATCATCATGGTTAATCATTTCCCTTCCACTTTGTTTCTGTGGCCCTGTAAACCTATCAATTGTAGCTTTCCAGGGAGCTTATGACTTAGCATACACAGCAGAGTTGAAAAACTGCTGGGTGAAATAACGAAGAGCCATCTTGCCATTATGTGACATTATGTGCCATGAATTCTAAGCCTGAATTGTACTCTTTTTCATTCTGGATTCCAATTAGAAGTGGCCCTACTTGTTCTCTAGGCCTTACTAGTTTTATGTGTTTTTAATATTTTCCCCACATGAGAAGCAAAAACATGTTTGCCCTTCATTCCTGAGCGGTTAATCCCTCTCAGACACAGAAAGCTGGCAACCAATGAGGAAAGATTGTCTCCAGACACTACTTAAGGCGGTGACCACCCAGTTGAGTGATGGATGTCATTTGTCAACAAGAAACTAGGCTAGTGCCAGGTGCGGTGGCGCACACCTGTAATCTCAGCAGTTTGGGAGGCTGAGGCAGGAGGATCATGAGTTCAAAGCTCAGCAAAAGGGAGGCCCTAAGCAACTCAGGGAGACCCTGTCTCTAATAAAATACAAAATAGCCTGGGGATGTGGCTCAGTGGCTGAGTACCCTTAGTTCAATCCCTGGTAACACCTAAAAAAAAAAAAAAAAAGAAAGAATAAAGAAACTAGGCTAGGGTGGGGGCAGGGAAACATTCAGTTGAGACCCATTACATCCATGAAAAAATTTAAGTGTTGTGTCTTACTAACAGTGGATTGGGAATGTGGTGGATGTTGGGCACAAGTGTATAGTCCCCCAAAGCTTAGCCAGGTGAATGAAATCTGTGTTCCAGAGTGTGGAAAGAGCATCCCTGTTGTAGAACATGGTGGCAGGAAAGTGGGAGGCCAGAATCCCTGGAATTTGGGTGGGCAGGGGTCAGGGACCAACACTGACACACCTTTCAGGCCTGGCCGGTCAGTTTGGTTCGGTCATTGGTTTCAGGTTATGTCTGGAAATCAGGTGAACCTTCCTTTAAAATAAAGAAATGTTTGTCCTTGAAAACTGGGAGCTGAAGTATGGGACCCTACAGTATTGGGCTGGGTCTGGCAGTTCATGGTCAGTGTCCTATAGAAATAGTTGTCCAATGCAGGTCTCTGATACAGAATTGCTCTGCCCTTGAACATTGAGCTTTGCCAGCATCCATTAGTTTTTTGGGCCACAAGATTCAGTCGATTCATGACAGCCCTCACTTGGGAGGTCATTCAGAGACAGCTAGCCAGTCCATGAAATTTGCATCCCCTTGCATAGTATAGAGTTGTCATTGATACACAGGTGTGCAGCCAGAGACTGCATTTCCCAGCTGAATAGCCATGTGACTTGCTGAGAGCCATAGCCGAGTCGGGATGACGCATGGCATTTTTGCCAGAAGTAGTGGTTGAGAGGTGACGCCAGCGAGCCATTAAGATGATGACTTTTGAGTTCTCCCGGAGTTCCCGTTGAGTTCCGGTTGAGTTCCGGTTGAGCTCTCGCGGGGATTCCTGGAGAGTTCCCGTTGGTTGGTGAAGTTCCGGTGGTGGGAGTTCCGGTTGGTGTGTGGTGTGTT